CAGAGGAACATTTCCTGTCCCATTTAATTTCCTAGCACAGACATAGCGGCTGTGTTACAGTCTGATCCCTGCTTTGTTCCTGTAGCTGTGCAACCGGGCATTGGTCTGTACTTAAAGTCTGTGGCAAACCAAAATGTAGTCTTTTGTGTCGATGTTGCTCAGCCCCATCCCTAAACCTCTGTTTGTCTTTGTCGTTTTTGAACTGTATGCTATGCAGACAGCAACTATATTTGGAAAGGGCTGTGTATGGTGCAGATCCATTTAAATTAAGCAGTTATCCAAAAGTGAAAATCTGCTCTGTAAAGTAAATGGAAATTAAATGAGACTGACACAATGCCTACATCTTGTCTTCACATTGCTAGCGAGCAGATACCATTAATTTGATTTTTCGTCAGAAACAGGTACCATGAAGTGCAGGATTGAAACTCTTGGGGCTAGATGGTCCCAGATAGCAACATCTGACAGGTATAATAAGGCAGAAAGCTTTATTTCAAAATATAGTTCTCTATCTGACTCAAAATACAGCTCTCCCCTTGCTTCTCACTGAGCATGTTTCCTTCTTTAGGGGCTCAGATACAGCCTCAGTAGACTTTTGCAGATGTTCTTTTTCTTTCTAGTGCCTCTCAGATACATGTTTTATTTATTTTCATCCTGAAGTGCTGCCTAAATCTATTGACAATTAAATAGTTAGAGGCGGTGGTCTGCAGCTATGATACCATTCTTATCTGATATCATCTCATCTTGTCTGGATAGTGGAAACATAAAATGTGCCCTGGAAGAGGAGCATAGTTACCCCTGTAGGTGCGTACTCCTGCCAGTGTGTGAATTATTCTCAATCTTTTTGTATGTATGTAGTGTAATCTATGAAATACAAATGTCATATGATATCCTCAGGGCAGGCAGAGCGGGCTGAGAGGCTAACAGCAGAAAAGGAGCTAATTTGGCCCAGGAGCATTTGGAGGGGTGTGAAATTCGGGAGGAGTTTAGATGTGCAAGGGAGCAGACGGGGAATGCGAGGGAAGGCAGGGCACATGGGACGTGGTGGGGCAGCAGGCCGTGTCCACCCAGGTGTTTGCACCGGAGCAGCAGGGCATTCGGCATGTTCAGTGGTGCTGTCAGGGGGTCCACTGGCATGTGGCAGAGGGGCAGAGCCAAGAGGTCAGGGGACAGCTGGGAGGAACCTGGTTGGTCTAAGAGAGGCAAAGGAGGGAAGTGTATTAGGTGTGAGGAAGGCAGTGTGACATGCTCACTAAAGCCTTCAACCTCCCAAGTATTTAGGAGTCTTGCGCTGAATTTAGGATCTCCGTCAGCATGTGAGCGCAAGCTCTTTGTCCTACAGAGAAGTCACCGTGTGGCACATTATGTGTGGGTCAGATTTTCAGGACAGGCAGAATGTAAGTGAAATGTACCGATGCAGGTGCTTGCTTTTTTCATCCTAAAAATGGAGCTTTATCAAGCAGCTCTGTTTCAATTCTAACTCTGAGGGGGGAGCCTGTCTCACTGGTGGTGTGGCTTTCCTAAGCAAAGCATTTTTTCATTCTAAGTCAGAACTGTTCTAAAGAGGAAGCGATGATCTAGTTGTTCGGCCTCACCACATCTTGTGTGCAGAATGATTTTCAGTTCTACTTATCTGCAAATGTTAATGGAATGTCCACAAATATTTTCTTGGTTTCTATGGTAAGAGAAAGAGAGTGTGAAACTCTGTGTCAAAACCACTGCATCATCTGCATCATCCTGTGCTTTTCAGGAGAAGACCCTGACTACTGGAAGAGTCATCTGTAGCATTATTTGTGTGGAAACGGGCATTTAGTACATTTTGATCCCTTTCAGGTTTGCATTTTGAAACACAGATATGCATATTACAAACCATAAATGTTACTTTGTCACTTTTATAATTACACAGTAATGACAGAGTGTGTCAAAACAGCTCAACACAGATTACTTCCTCTCTGACTATAAAGCAATCAGGCATTTGCTGGAATTTAACTGTAAGACTTTGGAAATAATTTTTTTTAAAGGTTTTATTTTCCAGATTACTCAGAAGTAAAATCTCCCAGTCCCCTGTGTACGCATGCATGGAGCGTAGCAGGGTGCAAATGCTTGGGGAACTGTGTCCGTAAGTGGTCACGTGGGAGAAGCAGCTAACATGCTGCACGCTTCCGCAGCCGGCTGAAAACAGCACTGTTCCCCCTGAGCAAGCACCCGGGGACCGGCCACGAGCTGCCACGCTCCTCTCAGGAAAGGAGCAGCTGCCCTATGCCGCACTTTCCTGGAAAGGGGACTTCAGTTTGGGGCATAGGTTGTCAGAAGTAGTCAAACTGTCTCACAACCATGCGTCCTCCAGTCCTTTGCCTGTGAGAGTGCAGAGCCTTAGTGTGGCAGGGCTGGTGGGACAGGGGAAAATAAAGCACCCTTTGACTCTGTGCGGGAAGAGCCGTGGGGCTCTCAAAGC